AAAAAAAAAAAAAAAAAAAATGAACTAATCATGACATGTTTAAGATAAAGACGAGCAAGCCTGCGACATAAATTGACCTCTTGTCCGCCTTGTTCACACCATAAAACAGTCCCATTTTTAAACTTATCATAATAATAATAATAATAATAATAATAATAATAATAGAAAATACTACAATCTCGTTACAAAACAATTCCGTGGAAATTTTTAACACTTAAATGCACAACATATACATCTAACTGTTAAAAATTCCAACAAAATAACAATAACAATAGTAATAATCCTTAATCAATTCTGCTAATCCGAATGTGCTCTAGGAGTGGTGGATCAAAGCTACAAAGGGACATATATAATCATTATATATGGAGACTTATGTTTGTTGGCAGGAGCGTAGCTAGAAAAAAATTTAACTCGGAGCTGAATATTATTGTAGCCATTATTAGAACCGAGTAGACATGGTCATGGGAGCCCGCCCCTGCCCGAACCGACATAAACTGGCTCGTTGACCATGGGTCTTCAACCGGCCCATGGTTTTGACCAGTCCGGTTAATGTTCAATGCTTTATGGTTTATATTTTATACATTTCGAACCAGCAGTTTTGATTTCGAACCGGAACCGGAGGTTCGGCCTTTTTTTTTTTAAAAAAAAATATAATTTGTTAATTAATTTTATTTCTTTAATGAACTGGGCTGCCAAGAATCGACAACTCAATGAACCGACCACCTCGGCATGGGATCGGTGATTTCAATCTAGAATCGGTTTTGCCATGACTAGAATTGAATTATCCGTTAACATAATTTCTGCTTGTTTAAAAATTAAATTGTAAAAACTAAATCTCTGCTTGTTTATACATTTAAATAACTTAAACTCAAATAGCTAATCGAACTTGTCGATCAAACAACTAGAGTCGAACATGTTTGCAATCAACTCTGTAATAGGTTTTTTTTTCTAGGAAATGAGGCCAAAATAATTATTGTAGGCGAATTCAACAAAAACAAACGAAAATGGTTAACAAACTGCGCAATGAGACAAACCCACTCAAATAGCCCGCAAGAGAAGTGTGCGTCAAGTTTAATTATTCAACTCGGTCATTGTCTAATCAACCCATTAAAAATTTAAAAGACAAGAGAGTGTTGAACCACATTATAAACTCAATTGATAACAATTAAGTAAGAGAATAATTGACATTTGACAATAAATGGTTGTCTTTTTTCCTCTCATTACGATCATCACTTATCCACTATTGTTGTTAGATAAATAAATTCGACCTGAATCTTGATTTATTATGCCCGAAATAAATGGGGCTAAACAAAAAATTACATAGAGCTATGTGTAAAACTTTCAAAAAATAAAGTGATTTTTTAATGGACAAAGGGTTAAAAAAACATAAACTTAGTGATTATGGGCTAAAATGTAAAATGGACATTTGAGATTGCGATGGAAATTCGCATCATCAAAACTGTATTTATTGCTTTGAGTGTTTTGTAATTGATATATGTGTACATACTCATCTTTCAGAAAATAGCAAAGAACAATACAAACGAAGAATGGTAACGCACGACTTGATTAAATTAACTATGAACACAACTACAAACACAATTCTCGAGTTTTACACACAGTATAGTGACACTTCAAATACACAAGATTCCGGCGAACTTACTTGTGTTTACATCTCTCTCAAGAAATAATAATTAACAAAAGATGAACACGAACTGTCTTATGTTCTATCTCAATTTCATATCTTT